GGAATGAGCTGCTGATATTGTCTGGTTACATTGGTGCTTTACTTGCTATTAGAAGACAGTATGCTAGCATTGTACCTGCACTTTATGAATACACAAGGTAATATTAATTATTTACCTACTTGCACTGCAGTAGAACCCAGAAGCCTTGGTCAGGATTATGGTACATAGTAAGAGAGCCCCTATCCCCAGAAGCTTATCAATCTAAAGTCCCATTCTTGCAATGAGCTCATGTGGATTTACTCCTGTGCTCACCCAGAGCTCTATTGGCTTCTTGCATCGCACAGGCACAAGGGTCAGCCTGAAAGCAGAATTTGGGCCTCAGTCAAACTGTGTGAAAGAAAAGATTGTTTTTATAAGTAGATAGATATTCTAGATCTTGTCCTTGCTTTATCATAAGTTATCAATTGTACTTTGTAATTTTATTTGACTGAAATTGATTTGAGAAATAATAACAGGATGAGATATTCTCTTTTATAATAGAAACAAGAAGCTAAGGAAAAATAGGTAGGTAATAACCTATTTGTGGCAGTTCAGACATCAAGCTTTGAGGCGTCCTGGGACTCACAGAAGCCATATAGGTTTCAGGAGAACAAGGACCCTCTAAAGCTGTATTTCTTTAGCCTGACCCTGCAAGACCTATAAAATCCACCATAATCTGACCTCATAGCTTTTTATGCTCCAATCCAACAAAGCACATAAGCACGAGATGTCCCAGTAAAGTCAAATGGCCCTGGATATATGCTTAAACATAAGTACATGCATGCTTGTAGAATCAGGGACTGAGTAAATTGAAAAGCTGTCCCTCTTTTCTTGCTCTGGTATATGTAAAATTAGGTCCAGTGTTAGTTTTCTGAAAATTCCTATGTCCACATGTACTCAGTCAAGACAAGGTTGTTTCAGATATTGTGCTAAATCACATTACTCTGACCCACTTAGCCGTCCAACATCCTCAGATATTGTATTTATCATTTCAGCATACATCAGTCAGTACCAAGACACACAATTCCTATAAGATTCAGTAAATGTCATTTTAAAAAAAGCATATACAGCCTTAAAATATAGGCCTCAAAGGAAAACTCTGCCATTAAATCAAGATAATTATATGTGAAAATATAAAAACTAATCATTCATAAATTTAACTCTAGTGGTATAGCAAAAATATCCAATTTTATGGTCAATTCAACATTTACTCAGACAGATTGATACTGCTAATTTCTAGTTTATTTTCCCTTCAATTCTAACAATGTATATTTTCTTGATTTAAATTTTTTCTGTAGGAAGATATCTTAATTCATTTTTATTTCTTTTTTTAGTCAGCTTTTAAAACGAAGGGAGGTATCTGTACCCCTGAAAATTGAACAGCTTTCTGAGGAACTAGATGCTTGGAGAGCTTGTACTCAGTTAGTCAACAAGTATGTGTGAAATGTAAAGTTATCATAATAGAAATTACTATGATTTAAATATGCTCATTGTAAATAAAATGTTTTATCCCATTTTTTCTTTGTAGAGTATGAATATGTCAATTTATATAAAAATTAAGATACTTCATTTTGAAATAATATTGTTTTTGTTCATCTTGAGGTATACTGCAAATGAAATGCATAGCTTAAAATGAAATATATTTTACTCACAGATCTACTGATGAATTGTCATATACCCTTCCATCCGAATCACAGAGAATGGTTTATTCAACATTGGTATCACGAATAAAAGAAGAACCTCTTAAAGGAATTATTGGACTGGATTACGTCACTGGGTCTAATCTTCCTAGTCACTCAGATGTTCACATCTCTTGTTTGACAGGGTTAAGGATACAGGTACCATTTTATGGAGCCTGAGTGCTTTTTTTGGAATACTTAATAAAATAACAATTACTTTAAAGAGTCAAACCAATTGTTTTCAAGTGAAGAGGTGGAATAAAAATTGAAAATTGTTGAGGCTTGCAGCATTCTCAAAAGAAAACCTCTGAGGAAGGGGAATATTGTTGGAATATTGCTCGAGCTGCCATTTTGTCTTGAAGGACACTGTCTTAACTACAGTAGGCTATACAGAGAGAAAAGAAAAAATTCAGGAGGAAAAAATGTTTGAAATCCCCAATTGGAGCAGTCAAAAGGTTTTAGTCTGTATAAGGAATAGAAATTTCTCTTAGCACATGCTCTCTCATTTTTAATGTATGTGATCTATTGCCAACCTTACCGTGGTTTGACTTGAAAACAATTAAAGTTTTATTTTAGACTTCACACTGTCCTTAATGTGTTGTGTTATAATGTGCATTTCTAGAATGCCAACCACTATAGTACCCAGGAGCCATTACATGAATTAAAAACATACATCAGTGATCCTTCAGAGGACAGTTCTCGTTGTCTCCCCATAATTTAATAATATAACGGATACACTTTCAAACATGACAATCAGCTTTCAATTACATTTATCACATATAAAGTGCTTTGTGATCAAAGTAGTTAACGTATTTTAATCCTCACTACAACCCTGTGAGGTACGTATCATTATTATTGCCATTTTTACAGATAGGGAAACAGAGACTCTCAATTCTGCCAGGCATGTTTCTCCAGACCATGCTGCAATTTGAAGACACTCTGGGCTTGTACACTCCAGCGCTTACTTTGGTATAACATAAGTCACTCAGGGGTGTGAAAAAGCTACCCCCCCCCCCCCCCCCAAGTGACAAGCTCTCCCACTGACATAGCTACTGCTGCTCAGAGAGGTGAAGTAATTATGACAACAGGAGAGTATACATACTCAATAGCCACACAGGAAGAATTCATTAATGATAAGATAGTTTGTAAATATGACAGAATTATGATTTTAAAATGTATCTAACTCAGGAATTTAGGAAATATGAAATTTGGGCTTGCAGATTTTTAGGACACATCTGTTTACCTAATAAGTATAGCATTATAAATTGAGTATGACAGTTTTAATCAGACTTGATTATAACAGGTATAACTTTTTAATGTGGCTGTAGCTATCACATAAATTAGCATTGTATTCTCGATTCATTTTCATATCAGATGAAGTAAAAATGTGCATTTGCTAGACTGCATCTCTTCTGGAAGTATGGGGACATGATGTGTATCTTTTTCCTCCCCTCGAACATTCACAGGGTCCAGTGTTTTTCCTTGAAGATGGAAAATCAGCTATTTCACTGAATGATGCTTTGATGTGGGCCAAAGTGAATCCCTTCTCACCATTAGGAACAGGAATACGACTCAACCCATTCTGATAAGACTTTTTCCTCTGTAGTGCTTAAAACAAGTAACATCCAGCAGGTTAACTTTAATTTAACCTTGATTGTTGAAGGACAGAAAGATGGCAGTTGATTCTTCCTGAAGGACAGTTATTTGAATTTTGCAAAATGTAAGTGAGAAAATGAAAAATGGATTTTTATAAAGTTATATAATAATCCAAAGAAAAAATGTCCTTACATAATTGACAGCCATGGTTGTTTTTTTTTTAAGACAATAATACTGATGTCACACAACATAAAAATATTTCAGTAAATTTTGGTGAACAAATTGTAAAGCAAGTAAAGAAATATCTGAACATTACCAAAATACTAGGGTAGCTGAAACTGAAATTCATAAGACATTTTTAATATATCAGTACGCATTTATTTATGCTTTTATGAATTGCCACTGAGATACAGCTGAGTTTCATACATTCTGTATTCCCTTTTATTTGTATCTAATACTTAGTAAAATGTGATTCTAAAGAGTGATAGTGTAAATTAAATGACAACATAGTCAAAATACTTCAATTTTTAATTAAAAAAATCTTTCCATACAACAAATATTTAAGCTTTAACAGGAAAAGAGAAGTCATTTTGATGAATATCTAGATTAGGATAAATTATTATATTTTCTAAGTCCATCTTTAACATTCCCCCATTATATTTTAAATGAGCACTAAAATGTGTTTTATGAACCTTATTTTTTTAATAAATAGCTTGTAAGTAATAAACAGCTTATTTAATGAAATATTATTGAAATACATTATGTAAATTAAAATTCTTGTTTTTTAATTTTGTATAGATTGTAAAAAATTGTATGGTATTGAGGAACTGATACATAAATATGTGGGCATTGCTTTATTTAGTTAGATGGTTAATTCATGTCTAGTATTATGTACACAAATGTCCATGAATGAATTGAAATCTGAAGGATTGACTCAACTGCCACTCTATCCTTTAAATCTTTGGTAATATACTGAAGGTTTATACTGCTGTACTTAAATCTTTTAAATAATTATAAATATGTAGTAAAACTGCATCAATTTGTGGAAGTTGTGCCTTAATGTGGAACCTCAGACAAATCTATTCCCTCTTTAGACACTGAGGAAGATAAATTATTTTTTCATTGTTAGGTTTAGAGTATAAAAATTGAGTCAAAGGGCACTTTTTACATTAGAAATATGTCTGCTAATAGTCTTTGTGAAGAAAAATTATGTTGTATTTGCTTTAACGTAGTCCTTACCCTATGTGGGGGAAAAAACATAAGACAAAATATTGTAAAGTGTGCATTTACTGTTACAATATGTAGTCGCAACTGTCAAAACATAGCTGCATCAATGTTTCCCAAAATAATTTCAGGTTGTTTGCTAAAATGTGATTTCATTGTCAAGCAGAACTGCTCAACTATAGTTATTTCCCCTTTAAATTAAAAAAAACATTTCTGATGTCTTCACCTTCAAATAATTGTGTTTTTTCTGTACCGTGTCTGAATTTCTCTATAGCTTTCCAGGCAAAAATATTTCAAGCCATACAACTTTTATACTCTGTAACAGGTGCTCTGAAAAAATCTCTTGTAATCTTAATGTTCTTGTAATAAGTGTTAAACTAATAAAATGTCTCTACCAAAGTCACATGTTTGTCAAAATGACGAAAAACATGTCAACTACTTGATATGTTACTAAAAATTAATCTTATATCAAAGATTGTAAAAATCAATGTACAATAGTTCAAGATACAAAAGGACACCAAGTATAACTGTCTAATTTATTCAACTCATCACATCACAATGTGCAAAAAGTTTGACCACATCGTCATTACCCATCTTGCACCAATGCAATCTGTAAATTGGAAAATTTCACTGACAAAGAACTTGAAATATTAAAAACAATTCAATCTAGTAAGTAATCAAGTCTAGGAGGAGGCTGACCTGTAAAAGCAACTATGGTAGCAAGTCACTGAAGGAAGCTGTCTAACAATGGGGAAACTACAGAGATGTATATTTTAGATACTGTTTTGTTTTGTGATGATTTCGCTTGTCACACTTCCACAAACATCAGATTTCCAATATGTACTTTGTTTGGCATTTACTAGAAGAAAATAATGCTCTAATTTAACAGACACTGAAACCAATCAGGCAATTCGCTCCCAATGGATATGGTCAAAGAATTATAGAGATAAAGTTGATCTTGTACGTTTTCAAAGTTGAGGTCTCTTCAACACTTTTTTTCAGTGTTCAGTTAGAATCCTTTTGGCTAGGTGCCTGGAGCTGCCGCATTTATACATCCACAGTAAAAGAGCATCTGTCAGCTTGTTTCACCTGGATTTCTTTGAAATGAACGCCACTTTTGCCTCTGATTTCTGGACGTCCTCGGTCTAAGAAAAGAAGCAATTGAATAATGCACCCATGTGCTTTTGCTGCTGATTTATTATCATACAATTTAACTATAAAAACATGTCCTTTGGAATACAATGAAATTTATCTCAAACTGCCAACCACAAGTCTTGTTTACACATAAGGAGTGTACCCATTTAGCTATACTGGTATATAGTTAAACCAGTTGGTTGTACAATCCCCTTAGTATGGATGCAGTTAAATTGGTATAAAGTTGCTTATACCAATATAGCTTATTTCCATTGATATAAGCACCTTTAGACTGATAGAACTGCAGCCATCCTAGGAGTTGGACAAATTTAGCTATCCTGATAGAAAAAAAAAATCACACCTCTAACCAAAACAGTTAAATCTCAACAAAAACTGCAGACCAGACCACAGTATACCTCAAACTATCATAGGAGATTTGTTACTGGACTCTTCTATAATACCATGATCACGATTCCACATGAAATCACTCACTAGGAGACTCTGCTAATCCACTTCCCATTTCTATTGGAGATTGCAAAGAACAGCTGAACTGTGATACAAAAGTCATTTAGACTATTTAATACCATTATCATAGTATATGAGGGCATCACTCCAATATATTTATCCTCATGATATCCCTGTGAGGCAGAAAGTACTAGGTGACAGAAGTGAGGGTGAGCTGTAATAATTTATCAATTATACTTTACATGTGTGTCTGATAGAGGTTTACTAGATGAATTCAAAGGGTCAATTCAAGAATAAGCTACCACCACTTAAGGGGCCTGTTAGGGTAAGCACGGTTGATCCAGGGTACTGGAGTCCAGGATCTGATCTGGCAGTGGGAGAACTGCACAGTTTCATCCCACAAGACACTGCACCTGAAGGGGTGCATTCAGACAATGGAGGGGAAGAAAGTGGTGCTAGTCCTGTAACCATAACATTACTACCCCCGTTTTTTTCCCCTCACAAACAGGGACCACAGACATAGAGACCTGCCAAAAGTCACACACGAAGTTTGTTGGAACTGAACCATTGGGGAATTGAACTGTTGTCTCCTAAGTACTAGAATAGAGTTCTAACTGCTGGACCTCCTTCCAACTCGTATCCACCCTTGCACAGCTCTGACCAGTTTAAACACTGGTCCACTGTGGCCTTCGAACATACAAACTGTCTTGGAACCTTTTCCATTTAACTAGTTACAATTTCCAAATTCTTGGAACCTTTTCCATTTAACTAGTTACATATCCACTACTTTTTTCTTGGTGAGGAAAAGCTTCAACTAATATTCTCAAAGGTTCACTGTCTGCCTTCAAGATATAAATACAAAGGCTATCTATGCAATCAGGGCCACGGCCTACTGTTCTTACTCAGGCAAAATACCCATTGACTTCGTTGGGAGTTCTGTTTGAGTAAGGACTGCAGGATTTGTCCATTGGGGAGCAAGTAAAGAACATCTGTTACCATTACACTGGAGAAGGAACTGCCTTCAGACTGTGCTACTAAGTATGGTGGAAGTTCTGAATCGTAAGCCAAAACACTATGGTGTGGAAGAAAAGCAATTTCGACTCCTGAAATATAAGCAGCATCTGTAGATGCTGCCACTGAGGCTCAGAAGAACTTTGTGGAAGCAATGTAGTTAGTTTCTAATAAGGTCCAACAGTTTTAGTAAAAAGACCACTTATCCATGTAATCAATGTAAAATAAAATTTAAAAAAAAACACACTCCAGTGGAAGAGACTGAAATGAAAGCTTACTTGATATAAAAGAAAGTTTCTCTCTCTTGATGTTAACCACACTCCCAGAGGGGTCTACAGGAGCTGGACGACGAACTGCACGCTCTGCCAAGCTTGGTTTAATGTTAAACCGCTCTTAAAAACACAATTACAATTCATTCATTCATTACAGTCCACATAGTCATAGCCTTCATACAATTCTTCAGTGATTTTTTTTATTTAAAAGACACTCCCACCTATAAAATCTAAATAAAGAAACCAAGATCATCACAAACTCTAGCAAAAGAAAAAAGTTCTCTGGCAAAAAATACCGTAATTTTATTCTGCAAAAGCTATATACAAGGGGACACACAAAATAAGTTTATGTGGTGGGGGGTTGTTTGTTTGTTTGTTTGTTTAAGAGGCTATGATACGTTTTAGCAATCACATTGTGGGAAGAGTAAGGATATGTCTACACTTAAACTGCTACAGAAGCAAAACTGCATCTGCTCCACTGTAGACATTACACTGATGGGAATGGTTCTCCCATTGACAAGGGTAATTTGTCTTCCCAAGAGGCAGCTTCTAGGTAAATGGAAGAATTCTTCCTTTGATCCAGTGCTGTGTACACCCAGGTTTTGGTTGGCATAGATATGTCTCTCAGGGGTGTACATTTTTCACACCCCTGACCAACGTAGCTATGCTGATGTAAATTCCCAGTGTAGACCAGCCCTTAATCCGAGATAGGTCTTATCCTTAAATAAGCATGAGAAGCTGTTTTGCAACAGATTACAACGTGCTTCTCTTCCTCAGTGTATTAGTGCTGAGTTTGGCCAACTAAATAAAGCACTTTGAAGAACAAAAGCAGTATTATTTTTTTGTTCTCATTTATTACTTGACACAGAATATCCGCTGTCATTATAGAAATCCAAACTTTTTGACCCACAAGTTTAAATTTAGACAGATTTTGACCATGTGTCTTTTCTACTGACAATCCGGACTGATGTTCCCATTTGTGCCATATCAATCTGAGTCCTGTAATACTTTCAAACTTTAGCTGTATACTCCTAGAAAATGTTGCTTAGAGCAGCTAACTTAGAGCTTAAGGCACTGAACATGTAAACACTTACTTGTGACCGGGGGAGGGGGGAAGAGGGCTTAGGCTACCCCCACATGGTGCCATGGTCACCGTACCCCAGTGGGATGCTGTGGGAGTAACTGTGTTCCTCAGATGTATAAAGTGGGGAGTAGGAATAAGGAGGTGATGTTACCTCTGTATATGGCTTTGGTTAGACTGATTCTGGCATACTGTAACCAGTTCTATTGTCCACATTTTAAAAAAGATGTTGAAAAACTGAAAAGGGTGCAGAAAAAAGGCACAAAAATCACTTGAGGGATGGAAAAAATGCCTTACAGTGTGATATAAAGAGCTCAAGCAGTTTAGCTTATCAAAAAGAAGATTTGAGAGGTGACTTGTTACAGTGTATAAGCACCTTTAGGAGATGAAACTACCAGGTACTAAAAGGGATATTAATGTAGTGGAAAATGGCATAAGAACCAGGAAGCTGAAACCAACCAAGTTCAAATTAAAAAATATTTGTGCCATATTTAGAACAGTAAGGATGGTTAACCATTACTACTACGTATTACAAACTACGAACGGAAGTGGTACATTCTCCATCCCTTGATGTCTTCAAATCACGACTGGATACCTTTCTGGAAGATATCCTTTAGTCAAAGAAGTTATGGCACTTCATACACAAGTAACTGGGAGAAATTTAACAGCCCTTGACACACGGGGGTCAGACTTGATGTCTTATGGTTTCTTTTGGTCTTAAACTCTATGGATCTATGGTAGTAAAGTTAAACACGTGTCAGTGTTTGCAGGATCAGGGCCTCAAAGAGTAAAGATCAGCTGCTTTTTAGCAAATTCACCTAAGATCATAAAAAGTGAAAAAGAATTAAACAGAATAGTTAAGCAAGCTCAAAGTATGTATTTCACCTTCCACTCTTGAAGGCTTACTGAGAACATTTGAAATATGGGCCAACTCACCGCATTCCCCAGGCCCACTGTCCAATTAAGTTAAATTAACCTGATAAGTGAAAAACTTAGGTTCAATAGTTCCCTGTTTGTATGTTTTTACTAGCAGGAAATCAGTGGAGTACCAAGGAAAATCTCTCTGCTCCAGAAACACTTAAACTATTTAGAGTTAAGCCAGCTAAAGAAGTGATCATGGCAGCAGCAGCTTTTAATGCAAAGGAATGGCAAAAAGTGAATGAATCACTTGTAAGTAATATGGCAATGGTGGAAACTTTATCTGTTATTTCAGCTATATTCCATCATTATATCACTAATATTAATATATCATCTAAGTATCACTGTTCACTTTGAATGCAACTGGCTGAAAATATTTCCTCAAATGATGTAATCAGAAAGTGGTATGATGTTTTCTTTATAATTTCCTAAGCAGTTGCTAATCCTCTTCATGTTACTCACACCAATAGTTCCACTACCTTCAGTGGGGTGACAAGTTGTAGTTAAAGCAAGCATGACTTGGCCCAAAGATCATTCAAATATTTGCCTGTTTTCCATTTTCAATCATCAGACTAACAAAGTAGGACAGTGAACATGGGAAACAATCAGTTGCACTATGTACATCAGTTTTTTATACTTGCTTTGAAAAACCACTCACTTGGGTTCTCTTCCCTCTCTACCAGTCTCTGTTGCATATGCATATTGATGATAGCATTAACCTTTTGTCTATTTTTGTTAATGTTGGGCTCTATCATTATTTCTGTTAGCTTAATGTTGTTCTTGATAGCCTTTGAAGCTGTTGACCTGGCAACCATCGGTAACTGCTCCTGATAATAGTGGTCTGTAAAGTCAACCTCATCCTGAATATTTTTAATTCTGGGGGGGAGAAAAAAAAAAGCAAAATGTTAATGAGTCAGTTACGTTACTACTAATAAATACTGAACACATTATTATACTCAACACTTTTCAAGATACTGGTTACATATTACTAAAGAATTCTTACAATTCCATTGTGTGGAATTTATAAATGGGGAAACCTTGACACAGAGATAAGCGATTTGCCCAAACCCACAGAGACAAGTCAGTGTCCTGGCCAGGAAAAGAATACAGGAACTCCTAGTGCTCAGTCCACTAAACCAAAACTCTCAAACGTTTTTCCAAAGTATGGACCATTCTTAAGAGAAAGTCTTCTGTGAGCCATCTCCACTCACATTCCGATTCATGATAAAACACATATAAGTCACAGCTGAAGCCAGAGAGCACCAAGAGCTTTCTACAGCTGTCTAACCTGGAAGCCGAACATGCAGACACTTACTGATGCAAGTTACTTCACTCAAGTAATCATGTGACTAAAGCTGTTCACATGCATAGGACTCTCCACATCTGCCTAAAGATTGCACAGCAATCGGCACTTCAGGCTAACCCCCTATGGTGTGGACTACAAGGGAGGCTAATGTAAGGCTACTTATGTCAGCCCTATGCCACTCCCATGCTGGGGAAATTCTCTTGCAGCTCACTTATGCCTTCTATATGCCACCAGGGTGAGTCATGGGGCCAAAGTGTAGAGCAGAATTTGGCCATATGAACTTATAAAGCTTGATTATTAGAAACTCATTGTGTTGTCTTGTAATTCTCTTGGTGGACGGTAACACTTAACTCACAAATCTCTGAAATCCACTGAAGGGATCAGGGGCATCCATACAAATGTCCCTTAACACCATTTTGCTGTCTGGCCCCAGAAACCACACTGACAGTGGCTTCCCTGATTATGGCTGCCGCTGTAGCCCTCATCAGCGGAGCTCTAAATTGCAGAGCAGTAAGTAGGTGTGTCATAAATATAAAGGGAAGGGTAAACCCCTTTGAAATCCTTCCTGGCCAGGGGAAAGCTCCTCTCACCTGTAAAGGGTTAAGAAGCTAAAGGTAACCTCGCTGGCACCTGACCAAAATGACCAATGAGGAGACAAGATACTTTCAAAAGCTGGGAGGAGGGAGAGAAACAAAGGGTCTGTGTCTGTCTATATGCTGGTCTTTGTCGGGGATAGACCAGGAATGGAGTCTTAGAACTTTTAGTAAGTAATCTAGCTAGGTATGTGTTAGATTATGATTTCTTTAAATGGCTGAGAAAAGAATTGTGCTGAATAGAATAACTATTTCTGTCTGTGTATCTTTTTTGTAACTTAAGGTTTTGCCTAGAGGGGTTCTCTATGTTTTTGAATCTAATTACCCTGTAAGATATCTACCATCCTGATTTTACAGGGGGGATTTCTTTATTTCTATTTACTTCTATTTTTTATTAAAAGTCTTCTTGTAAGAAAACTGAATGCTTTTTCATTGTTCTCAGATCCAAGGGTTTGGGTCTGTGGTCACCTATGCAAATTGGTGAGGCTTTTTATCCAACATTTCCCAGGAAAGGGGGGGTGCAAGTGTTGGGAGGATTGTTCATTGTTCTTAAGATCCAAGGGTCTGGGTCTGTAGTCACCTAGGCAAATTGGTGAGGCTTTTACCAAACCTTGTCCAGGAAGTGGGGTGCAAGGTTTTGGGAAGTATTTTGGGGGGAAGGACGCGTCCAAACAGCTCTTCCCCAGTAACCAGTATTAGTTTGGTAGCGGCCAGTCCAAGGACAACGGGTGGAATATTTTGTACCTTGGGGAAGTTTTGACCTAAGCTGGTAAAGATAAGCTTAGGAGGTTTTTCATGCAGGTCCCCACATCTGTACCCTAGAGTTCAGAGTGGGGGAGGAACCTTGACAAGGTGCTACACACTTTGTCTACAGTAACATACACAAGGTTCCACGGTATGCTGAGGGGTTAAGAATCTAGCAGAACTAGATCATCGTCAACTCCATCCACAGAATTGGGGTTCTGCTGGGTTGGGGAAAATTAAGCATGTTCTGAAGAAGCAGCACTCCCTCTTGCACATCCCCCCCGTTTAGCTCAGTGGGCATAAGCTCCTTTACGCTCACAGAACTGGAGGAGAGCATATGGATCTATGGTTTTATACTTATAAACACCATCTGTTTTATTAATGGGTTTGCTCTTTATACTATTTTTATTTAGTGAATTTCAGGGCTGCTAAGAAGCATGCTGATAACCACTTTAAAGAGATCCTAGGTAATACTATGTGCTCTGTAAGCTTTCACACACAACACTAATTACCTCACTGTCAATTAAACAACTTTGCTTTTTCAATGAATGAACCAGAGCAGGACTGTGGTGATTTTTGTGATGTGGGCAAAGGTTCACTAGGAATTTAAATGTTATTTCTCTCGTGAAGCAGGCATCAGATCCTGGCCCTACTGAAGTCAATGGCAAAACTCCAGTAGACTTCACGCCAAGGCTTCAGAAATCTTAAGGTTTTGAGTAATATGTAGATACTACTCATTAATATGCTACTAAAATGAATCCTTTACAGAAAACCTGATACATAATACGCTTCTGTAAACAATAGCACCCACCGTCCGTTTGTCAGCATTGAGTAGATGTCTTGTACCAAAATTTCTGCTGCTCCCGGTTTACAGTGAATTGTCCCATCTATTAGTTCTTGGACAGGCTTCAATTTTCTTCTGGAAAAAAACTATAGCAAAAAATAAAAACAGAGAGCATTTCAGTTCCTATTAGTTGAGAGGCACAGGTCTATCCTTCCATGCTATTTACTTGACGCGTGATCACTCACTTTGTTTTCTCTCAGCCCCCTTCCAATCCAATCCCACTCAAACCCTCACCCCTTAACCAAAAAGGAACAGCAATTAAAGAAAATATGCAATATAATGGGTGAGAACTGGAATATAAACTGAGCAAAAATTCAACCTTTTTCTTCCCAAAAACAACTGGAACCCCCTTAACTGCCCAACCTAAGAGAGTGGGAATGGTTAGCAATACAAAACCCGCAAGGCCAAGATTTAACCTTGGGTGCCTCACCATGCGCACGGCCCGGCGCCGGGAACAAGTCACCAGGGCTGGCCAGGTGAGTGACGTTTCGTCCGTTCCTCCAGCGCCATCCCCGCGGAGCTCGGCAGCGGCCCCCGGGACTGTCCGCAGGGACCCGCGGAGCGTGCAGGGCTCAGCCGGGCTCCTCCCGCGGCCAATCAATACCTGGGGGAGGGGGGCGGAGCGCCAAGGGGCCGCCATCGCTGCACCAACTTTCCGAGCCCGACGCGCCCGGGGCCATGGCGGGGCAGGGTTCACACGGAAGGGAACCTCGAGCGCTGGGTGCTCGTTACCAGGCGCACCGTCCCCGCTCCGAGCCGCTGCCCGGGCTCGTGCCCCACGGCGGGCCGGCCCCCTCACCTGGCCGAGCTGGGACCAGTTGCTGAGCTTGGTGGCCAGCGAGGCGCCGTTCTCGTAGCTGTGGCTGTGGATGTCCTCGGGGTAATACCAGGAGAAGATCTCGGCGATGAGGTAGCCGTTAGAGAAGTCCCTAGAGAATAACGACAATAACGGTAAGGCGGAGGGCGGGTGGCGCGCGCGGCGCCGCGCCCGGCTCGGAGCCGCCCCGCCCCCTCTCACCGTCGGAAGTTCCTGGGGAAGAAGCTCAGGTCCAGGCTCTGCAGCCACCTCAGCACGGCGCGGGGCAGCCCCGTGCGCTTGGGGGCGTGCGAGTACGACATAGGGGCGCGAGAGGCTGGGACTGCCCGCGAGCCGCAATAGGGCCCCCTTTCCCAGTGTCCTCTAGCTGCTGACCAGTTACCAAGCAACCGCCACAAACTATGGAAGTAGGCGGGGACTCATTCGACTCCGCCCACTGCCCACAGATTCTCCCAGGATGATGACTAGGGCGCGCACGTGCGCCAGGCAACCCGTGAGCAGTATTGCCTGAGTGCGCACGCGCCGTGGTCGTAGCTGGAAGCCAATGGACGGCCGGCAATAGCGGCTGCACGAAACTCTGAGCTACCAGCACGTTATTCGGAGTCCGCGGCTGGCGCTCTACTGGCCGAGCTGGGCAGCGACTGCCGTGCCAGGGGGCGCCATCGTACCACCCAGGTAGGCGCCTGCGGACCGTCATGTGCCCGTGCCCCAGGTGTTAGCCGTGAGCTCCCCGTACACACCAACAGCATCCCCCTGTACAGACCAGCGTCATGCACATCAGTTACCAGCTCCTCTGGGTGTTTTAGTCTTGATCAGTTGGTACTGTGTTTACGCGTCTAGAAATAGCAGAATTAATTCATCTGAGATGTGGTACAAAGCACATGCCGGCTGTCTAGAGATCTGATTCTATCTATTTAGTCTCTTTGCAGTGTTCTCCCTTATTTTGCTAGATATCCAAAAACATTAAAAAGTTGATTTTTTTAATACTATCTAGGTTAAGAGCTAATGATTTTACAGCCACTAGTGAAACTATATCTGTGCATCCACCTCTTCTCTCTAACCCACTCAGTTTATCTGAGTATTAGCCTTTTGGCTCATCTCAAGACATGCATCGTGTTGACTGCCAACAATCATGACTTTGAAAAGGACACTTAGTCACTTTTAAGGATCCATTCACCATGTGTTTGTCCACCTTAGTCACGTACATTCTGCCGTCTTACTGCACTATCTCCTTTCTTATTTCTTAGATCTTGCAATCTTATTCCAAGATTTTTTTGTAATTAGGCCATATCCTGAATTGTTTTACAAGCAAAAAACCCACTAAAGCCAATGGGCTTGAAAGTGTATTGATTGTACAACTGTGGTGTTATGTTCTGTCCAAAATGTCTTGTATGGTTCAGACAGCAAATCCTGCATTTTGGCATGGGGTTAGACTAGATTACCCTTGCGGTTCCTCCTAACCTTCTGATTCTACTATTACGTTTATTTTCCCCCCTCACACTTGATCACTGTCTGATTTTTACTTCTAGATATTTAACTGGCTATAACAGCAGTATTGATCAGTCATTCCATTATCAGGCTTAATGTTTGCAGATTGCACAGAACTTCGAAAATGGGAAATTCTGCATAAGGGTAGGTGACCGGGTATCTGGTTTTCAACCGGAACATCTGATTGAAAAGGGACCCTGGCAGCTCTGGTCAGCATCGCCAACTGAGCCATTAAAAGTCTGGTCAACGGTGCTGCCTGGCTAAGGCAGTCTAATCCCTACCTGTCCTGGGGCACGATGCTACACCCTGGAAGCGGCCAGCAGGTCCAGGAAGCTCCGCACGCTGCCCCCACCCTGAGCACCAGCTCCACACTTCCATTGGCTGGTTCCGGTCAATGGGTGTTTGGGGGGCAGTGCCTGTGGGCGAGAACAGTGCACGGAGCTTGCTGGGCCCCCCCACCGCCTAGGACCTGGACCTGCTGGCCACTTCCAGGGCACAGCGCAGTGTCCCAGGACAGTCAGGAAGCTTGCCTTAGCCCCCCCGCTGCACTGCTGTTAGAAAGTTGGCAACCCTACATAAGGGCCTGCACCCACTGGCAGCCAGCTTCCCCCAAGCCCCACCGACCAACTCCTCCTCCTCCCCCCTCTCAGCACCTCCCACTCGCCATGATCAGCTGTTTCCAGCAAGCAGGAGGTGCTGGCGGGAGGTGGAGGAGTGGGCATGGGGCGGAACTGGGCAGGAAGAGGCAGGGTGGGGGTGGGAAGAGGCGGAGTTGAGGCTTGGGGGTGGAGCCATGGGCGGAGCAGGGGGTTGAGCACCCCTGGGGCCCGGAGGAAGCCAGCGCCTGCCAGGGCCTGATTCTGAGAGATCTTGAGCACCTCCTCGGCTGCCATTGAAGTCAGTGGCACTGACACAGGGAGCAGTTTCTGCGTGATAATTATAGTCATCCTAAATATGTCTTTACTAATGTCATATTACAATAAATTCTGCTCAGTTGAAAGGTGTAAATTTTGAGAAGCTATGATTAGCCTGGGTCACCCAATCTTTGCTTAAATGGAAGGGCTGTGCCTACTTTGCAGAAAATGGAGCAGATTGCAGTTGCTCCTGTCTCAGCTACGCAAATGTAGCCGATGGAAGTAAAATGTAGTCATGCTGGTTGGATCCAGAGGAAGCATTGCATATCCTGAAATCCATGGCCTGTGACTGCCAGGGCAGCTGAAATCTGCTCCATTAAATGCAAAATAAGTGAAGTCCTCATATAAAGATAAAGGAAGCAACACTGAACTGTTTAGAATTGGTCAATAAGCTGACTGTCCTTGCTGCTGGAACAATTAAATTTTCTTAATCCCAAACATACGCTTGTACTTGCTTGTATGCTTGTATCAGTCATTTTATCTTCCTGCAGTTACTTCTCTCTCATCATGAAATCATGGAACAATCTGAATTCTTCAAAGCAAGATGTGTATGTAGAGGAGGGTTTGGGTTTTTTTTAAAAATCATAGTTACATCCTGTTGGCGTGGATAGCATTGCTCATCTGCATATTTACTTGCTTTTCGGAAGTTATTCTTATTTTCCTTTCGGGAGACTGAGTTATTTTCACTATTCTGTTTTTAAGGTCTCTTGGAAAGACTTTTCCTGGTACACGTAGCAGACATTGGTCCCTATTGCAGTTCGTGCCTGTTTGGTGGAATATATGTTCTGTCTGATTTCCTGTAATTTGTGTATCCTATCAAGGCTGTCATTTGCAGGGGAAAATTACTCCACATAGATTTGGATTGATGCTTTCTCATTCTTGAATTTATTCTTCCATGCAAGTGTTAAAGTAGCAAAAGAAAATCTCTTTTACATATTGTTTAGCTGTACTGCATTGAACTATTGAACCCATTGAGTTTTCTATTCACTGTCTTCTCACTTGAAGAAGGACTAATGTATCTCAGCAGGTTTTTATTTTTTGTCAGTGAGAGAAGCATCCAAAAAGTCAGCTGGTGGATCAGGACAGTTGCAGACATGCAAGAAAAATAAGCAGTGTCAGGATCTCTAGGAATCCAAGTAGGATTTAGTCCCAGATCCTCAAAGGTTTTTAGGCACCTATCTGTCTCTTAGGCACTTAAGTTCATGATTTAGACTCCACTAACATTTTCAAAACTGCTGCTCAACTGCCATTTACCACATAGGATCCTAATTCCCCTTCATGCCTAAAATCCTGCCAGTTGGCATTCACAAAGACTCCTAATCCCTGATGCCTCCCCACAGCTAATGAGCAACTCAGAGCTCTAGCTTAAGCTGAAGCACAGGAGACCCTGAAGTAGGATTCTCAGTCTAGGCAGGGGAACTCCTATATCATCAGCAGGGCCCAATCCTGTATTGTTGCTGTGAGCTCGCCTAAAACTTGATACCTGTCAGACCCCAACCACCAGTAGCGGGTCACAGCACCCACACAGACGACAGCTAGGGACACAGGGAAAGAAGTATCGAGAGTGATCAGGAGAGAGGAAGAGAGGATTTTGGCTGCTAGGGCATGGACTTCATGAGCAGGTGACCTGGCTTTGTTACCCAACTCCAGGGGAGGGTTCCTTGCTGAGGATTCCTAGTGGAAGAAAGTGCCTATCTGTTGCTTGACAGTGAGGCACACCAGGTCAACCACTTAGGCAACTAAGCCGCTCTCCATTCCCTGCCCCTCCTCTCCATATTTTACTCCTGGTTAATATAGGCAGCTCCCCATGCAGCTTGCTGGCTTCTGAGGCTCCCTTTCATAGGTGCCTAATTCTCCCCATGCACTCTACGGAGTACCTGAGTACCTAGCTTGGGGCTGACTATTCTACCAGGTGGCAAGGCGCCTAAGGGGTTAGGTGTTGCAACACTTAGCACAGCGATTCTTAAGTACCTTTGAGCATCTGGGCCTTAGCCTGATCCAAAGCTTATTGAAGTCAATGGGTGTCTTTCTAGGAACTTCAGTGGGTTTTGGATCAGACCTTTGGAAAACTGGGTGGCAGCTTATTTGAATGGAAGAGGGGGCTCATTATACAAGTGGAAAGGGTAGTTAGTAGCTGTGATGGGATCTCTGGGGTGCAACCTGAAACTCGGGTACCGCTGTGCCCTCTTAACTCTCTAGCCTGAGCTGTCTCTCACAATGCTTTGCTAGTGCCAAGCAGCAAGTCCCTCCAAGCACTGTTATCACTCAGCACAACAGCATGTGGAGCCCCACACCCAGCTAAATTGCATGAATGCTTCCAGAGCCACTCACGAATCACACAGAGAAAGGTGTCAGCCAGTCCCCCTGCAGCTCTTCAACCTTGCACCTCAGAGCTGTACCATCTTGCCCTGATCAGAAGCCTGACCAGTGTAAGTTTATTGCCCAGCCCACTCCTCCCTCAATGTGGAGAGGACCTACACTAGCCCTTGTAACCTGAGCTGAGATTTCCCAAGCACTTCCAGCAAAATACACTGTTTTAGGTAAAATATAAAACAGGTTTATTAACTACAGAAAGATAGATTTTAAGTGATTGTAAGTGGTAGGCATAAAAGGTCAGAGATAGTTACCAAAGAAAATAAAAGGAAGCGCACAGTCTAAATTTTAAACCTTATTAGACTAGGCAATATTTAGATCAAGCAATTTTCTCACCCCACTGGATGTTACAGTTCATAATACAGAGGCCTCTCTCTCCAGCCTGAGACCAGTCTCCTCAGTTGAAGTCTTCCGTCTTTCCAGCATTTTTGTTGCTTCCAGCGTAGGTGACTGAGGAGAAAGGCCAATGTTATACCAATAAAATAAAAACTAGCAGGATCTTATTAAAGAGAAAAAGGCAAAATACCACATTTATTGTGAATACAGAAAGAATCATAGTAAGCAGTTAGTTATAGCTATAACATTCCATTCAATCTCATATTTATTCACACATTCATTCATACAAACACACGCACACAGGTTCTGCAAGGTTGTTATCATAGTTACCAGGCTTAGAGTTGCTTAGAGTTGCTTAAGTTGCTCATGCCAAGCCACTGGCCAGGTGGCCTGGACATGAGGAGGGAGCAGGGCCTTGTCAGATGCTCATCTGATACTCCTGGAAGTTGGTTTGCAGAATCAGACCCCCAAAGTTCTCACTTTCTAGAGTCCATTTTTATAGGAATTTCTTCCTATGCCAGTCTATGGGAAATGCTTCATCATGCTGTTGCTGAATCAATCAGC